CATTTTTTTTTTTTTTTTTTTTTTTTTTTTAACTAAAATTTGATATCCTTCACCAACGCCAATGACCACTGAAACTTCGTTGATCTGGAATTTCCAAAATTGGGAGGAAGATTGTTTTCATCGTGCAGATCATTTTTAGAATTGGGTGGCCGTTGTCACCCAATATACGTTTCGCATCATTATCAAATCGGGAATTCAGCTTCCACAAAACACATGACATTAATTACGTCATGCTTTACTAAAATTGGAAATTGACTTTCGTCAAACATCATGCTGATAATCATTGCTAAAATTGGGTCGAATGATAAAAACACGGAAGGACTATAATGGGATCTTCGATACACATTTCTTGTGTCATACACAAACGAGGAGTACAACGCCGATACGATGACTTTGTTCTACGTGAATATGCACGCATATAGTTAACAAGTCGTATGTGCAGAGGTACAAAAGGATTGGGGAGTCTTCAAAATCCCAAATGCTTGTTCTTTCCCTAAGAAAATTGAAAACATGAATGCACAATTTTTTTCCGAATATGGAATATGCGAAGATTGCACCCAACAAAAAACCGGAAGTTTGTGGTGTAATGCATGTAATGCCGATAGATTTAAAAAGGAATTTGACAAATGGACTAGTGGGAATAAAGAAATTGATCTGTTCATTCAGAGGGCTCAACTGAAATGTAGGAGCAATGATGAATTTATCGAGTGGGTTCCTTTTGAAAGGTTTAAGAATGTGGAATATGTTGCGAAAGGGGGTTTTGGAGAAGTTTACAAGGCTACCTGGACCGATGGGTATATCGACTTCTGGAACGGCAAGACAAAGGAATGGGAAAGGTACCGAAAAGGACTAACCGTTTGTCTTAAGAGTCTTGATGATTCTTCAAACCACATAGGTGAATTTTTGCAAGAGGTAAGACTTTTTATGTATGTCACCACCCTGACATCAGATGATGGTTCGATTAACCATTATTTTAGATTGAAAATCAGCTTAAACTCCGAAAAGTTCTGTATACAATCACCATCTATGGTATCACCAAGAATCCGAGTGAGCAAGACTACATGATGATTATGGACTACGCTGATGAGGGAAGCCTCAGGCAAATGCTGAAAAAGAATGCTCATAAATTGACGTGGAAGGATAAGTTGCTGATTTTAAAGTCAATAATATTTGGCCTCGAAGAAATACATAGGATAGATTTGGTGCACAAAGATTTTCACCCTGGAAATATCGTCATGGGCAGCATAAGCTCTGCATATATCACGGATTTTGGCCTATGCAAACCGATAAGTGATATCAATGATTCTGAGCAAAGTAAGCTCTACGGTGTGCTCCCTTATGTGGCGCCAGAAGTATTAAAGGGTAAGGAATATTCCAAGGCATCGGATGTGTATTCTTTCGGAATCATCATGTCTGAAGTTCTTACCGGATATCCGCCATATCACGACGTTCCTCATGATGGTTCTCTGGCGTTAAAGATTTGCCGAGGCCATCGTCCCAAAATCAGATGCAAGGTACCCCAACTATTCTTGGATTTAATGAATAAGTGCTTGGATGCAATACCTGAAAATCGACCAACTTCCCAAGAAATAAACGAAATAATCTACAAATATTGGGTGGATTTGTTTGAAAGCGATGACGAATCGGAGATATCCCAACAGTGCAAGGAAATTCAAAAGTCTAACGCAAGCGCTTCAACCTCCGATCAAAACAAATTAACCTCATTTGATTACACCACACACTCTCTTGCCAGTTATACAAGCCAACTTTTGAATTTCCAAAATCTATCTGATAGTACAACCAATACGACAGGTAATGAAATTGCCAGGATTGTTGCTGTAATATTATTATCGCTTAATTGGATTCGGTTTTAACTTTTTTTTTTTTTTTTTTTTTGGAACTCCAAACAGAAATGAAACAAATTGGGCTTCAAATCAAGGACATCAAAAGTAATTTCAATTACTTCCACCTCCATTTTTGTCTCACAATATTTATAACATTTCGTGTTCGTGACTATTTTATAGTTGAAGAAG